CTCACGCCATGGTGTCGCACCCCGGGGTCGGCCAAGAGCGCTGCCCGGGCAGAGGGCGGGTGAGTGAGGCAACGCCTTTGGGTGACAGCGCCCATTCTGCCTGGCGATGGCTCCTCTCAAAGTTTCAGTGACGTCTCCGGGGGTGCAGAACGACAGTAGCTCCTGCCCCACGCCCCAGTCGCCGAGGGGCTAACGCTGCCCCAGGAGAGGGGCAGGCCGCGGCCTCGGCTTGAGCTGTCCCGGCCACCTCAGCCGCACAGCCCCCGACGGGTGGGTCGGCTTGATTTCTGGTACGTTCCCCGTCCTCAGAAGTTGCGGCGGGTCGCCGAACCTCCTGGGGTTTGGCTCAGCTTCACGGACCATTCTTCTTACGTTTGAAAGCTGCCAACTTTTTTTGAAGTAAAAAACCCACATCTTTCTTTGACACCTTTCAGCCACTGAAATAATGTTTCAGCTGCTTCCTTATTCCCAGGTGCCCAGGGCCTGCTGGGAGCGTGTGCCCAGCCCGGTGGCTGTTCCAGGAGTGCAGGACTGCAAGGAAGCGTCTTCTCCCTTTAGGATCACGGACTGGGATGAGCTTGAATTTTTACAAACCAGCTGCTGGCACATGACAGCACCTGGGAACGTCCTGGAATATTGTTGGAGACTGGGGCAAAGCTGTGCTGGCGGGTGCTGTGCCGGAGGGTGCTGTGCTGGAGGGTGCTGCCCTCTCCCTCCTGCTGACCGAGGAGCCGCACTCCCCGTCAGCGCGACGCTGCGGAGGACGGTGCCTGCACAGCGACGGGCCGAGCCGCCACACCAGGGGCTGGGGGTTTGGGGTTTGGCCCCTTGCTGACCCCTCTGCGGCACAAACCTCCGTGGCAGCCGGGTAAGGGCTTCCCTTGCAATCCCCGCTGCAGCTCGCCCTTTGGAGCTTCCTGACAGGGCGTAATTGCAGCTCCCCGCTCTGCTGATCTCCGTCATGTTCACCCCAGCTGAGTCACCCTCCAGCCTGAACATCAGCCGAAACTGAGGTGATCGCCCTGGCCTGCTTTTAGGTTCCTCCTGTAATGGCTAGGGATTGATTGAAACCGTCCTAAAAGGAATAACTGTGGTACTGCACACCCACCTAGGAACCCCTCTATTTCCCCAGGGATACGTGGATTTGTCAAGAACACTCTGCTTAGAAATCTCCTGTCTTTTAAAGCTTTTCTGTCTTTTTTAAAAATGTTGGATTGTCTCCTAAATGTACTATTTTTTTAATTAGGATTTACTGCTGCGAAGATGCTGATTGTTACCTTGAGTGGCGAACTGCGGCAAGCAGACATGAACCTCAGCAGGGTCTAAATAGGGTTTAACAGCTGGGGGGTTTGGTGGCACAGAGAGAGATTTACCCTCAGGAAGAGCTTTTGTGGTGTGGTACCTTTTGACACTGGCTCTTACTCAGCTACAGTTTTCAGGCAACTAAGACTGTTTGGCTATTTGGGGCCTACAAGGGAGATGGAGGGGACTTTTTACAAGGGCCTGTAGTGACAGGACAAGGGGTAACGGGTTTAAATTGAAAGGGGGGAGGTTTAGATTGGATATCGGGAAGAAGTTCTTCCCAGGAGGGTGGTGAGGCACTGGAACAGGTTGCCCAGAGAAGCTGTGGATGCCCCATCCCTGGAAGTGTTCAAGGCCAGGCTGGATGAGGCTTTGAGCAATGTGGTCTAGTGGAAGGTGTCCCTGCCCATGGCAGGGGAGTTGGAACTAGATGGTCTTTAATGTCCCTTCCAACCCTAACCATTCCATGATTGTGATTCTATTTTAAAATAGGAGGAGTGTTGGTTAAGCACCATGGGCTTTGCACACGGCAGACCTCTCCCGAGCACTTGTACTTCTCAAGAAAACACACCTTTATTATGTTTAATTAATACACACCTGAGGGAGATCTTTCAGAACAACATTCTCAGTGCTATTTCTGCAGTGCTAGCACGTTCGCTACACGTTTATATCACATGTGCAAAGAAGGCATTGGGGTACTGGAGAAATTTAAAAGCTTCACCTTGAAAAAAGGAGCTTTGTTAGAATCAAACGTAAAACCTAAGTACTGCCTGAAATAAAAACACCCCAGATCATACTGGTCCACAAAATGGGTTTGCTTTCAGGTTTACAAACACACCTGTAAACAGAAATAGCTGGTGTGTTCAACAAGCTGATCACCAACTCCCGAGGTAAACGTTCCTCTTGCTCAGCGCAGCCCCTCGTGCTGTTGACCCACCCCTTCAAAAGCCATGCCATCGGCAGTCCTGCCACACAGAACAGGAACAGTTCTCTGTGCATGGAAAACTACCTGCCTGTAATCCTTTTAAAAACATACCCTTTCATTTCAGAACTAATGGTTTTAACCCAAAGTGTTCCACGACAAGCCAATATATTATTCATTCACTTTTGCTGCTAAGCTGCTCTGCAACAAAATATTTACATCTGGTTTGTACAGACCAGGGAGAGTGAAGAAACAGACGGCCTGGAGTGGTCTGTCAGGAAAACGTTAATGCTTTTTGGAAACTCTTTTTAGCAAAGCTATGGCTAGCTGACCCGCTTATCTCGAAGACGCTTCTTATCGCAAGAACAGGCAACTCGCAAAACGATACGGCAAGTGGTGGCTCCAAGTGTGTTATCTGTCGTACCCTCCACGAGAGTTCGTACTCTGTATATAATGTAAAACATTTCTATCTAAATAAATCAGTACGCCCAATAACACGACCTCTGCTACCGAAACAGAGACATGTATCACACTCTAGAGATTAAAAACATGTACAACTACAAGAAGGAGAGAGCAGCAAGTCTGAAGTGCACACAGGCCGTCCAAGCAAAACAGCGGGGAGAGGGAGAGACCCGCTCCAACCCCTGCCAGTCTGCAGAGTTCACACGCCCCTCTCGCAGGTGTGAGCCGTGTGCCTCCAACTGATTTACTTCTTACAGTTCATAAACCTTTTTCAGGCTCTCCAGATCTTCCAAGGAGTACTGATGATTCCGGTTTGCTGAACCTGTCTTTTTTCGGATTTGCTAAGAAAGGCTAGCACCACCTGAAAAAACAGATTATTTGATGATCAGCACAGGTTGACCGAAAAATCATCGGAAGCGAGAGAGAAGGAAATGAGACACTGATTCTGTAAGACACGCCACACTCATTTAAGCTTCTGTTCGAGCTAATTGTGCATTCCGCCTTACCTTAAATCTTTCTGCTTTGCTCAGGTAGAAAAGGTGCTGATACACAAGGCCAGGATCTTTCCCAAGTACATAACATTCCAACGACTGGATAAAGATCAAAAGGGTTTCTCCTTCAAGTTTGTTACTTAGGAGCATTGGCAATTTTTTTGGATCAGTAATTGTCAGAAGATCTGCACAAGCAGCTTTATCCTTACGGCTGTTCACTGCATTTACAATCTGACCGAAGTCGTAAGCAGTAGACGGTTCGGAAATGTGCAGCTTCTCAGGGGTCTGAAGGGGCACGCGCTGCTGAGCTGCTTCCTTAGAAGTAACGTGGTCGGTCGCCCCATCTTCTGATGTAGCAAACTGTCTCTCTTCCTCTCCATCAGATTCAGTCACCTTCACAAAGCAAATGGCAACAAAACATTATAATGTGGACATACGGATGGCCTGAACCTTCATAAACTGCCTGCAGATGTCCATCAGTAATGTCACTCAACAAGTTAGCACTGCACTCTTCACAGGCACCTCTGGTCTTCTATGTCCTACTTCCCCCCAGAATAGTACCTCTCTCTCTCATCTTTAAAGGCTTGTAGTCCAAAGTGGCTATTTCATAGAACCCCAGAACAGTTTGGGTTGGAAGGGACCTTAAAGACCATCTAGTTCCAACCCCCCTGCCATGGGCAGGGACACCTTCAACTAGACCAGGTTGCTCAAAGCCTCATCCAGCCTGGCCTTGAACACTTCCAGGGATGGGCCATCCACAGCTTCTCTGGGCAACCTGTTCCAGTGCCCCACCACCCTCTCCGGGAAGAACTTCTTCCCGATATCCAATCTAAACCTCCCCACTTTCAATTTAAACCCGTTGCCCCTTGTCCTGTCACTACAGGCCCTTGTAAAAAGTCCCCCCCAGCTTCCTTGTAGCCCCTTCAGGTACTGGAAGGGGCTATAAGGTCTCCCCGGAGCCTTCTCTTCTCCAGGCTGAACAAGCCCAACTCTCTCAGCCTGTCCCCATAGCAGAGGTGCTCCAGCCCTCGGAGCATCATCGTGGCCTCCTCTGGACTCGCTCCAACCAGTCGATATTAATCTTATACTGGGGGTTCCACGGCTGGATGCAGCACTCCAGGTGGGGTCTCACAAGAGCCCCCTAAGGGGCAGAATCCCCTCCCTCAACCTGCTGGCCACACTTCTCTGGATACAGCCCAGGATACGGTTGGCTTTCTGGGCTGCCAGCGCACACTGCCGGCTCATGTCCAGCTTTTCACCCACCAGTACCCCCAAGTGCTTGCCCTTTTCACGTTTCCTTTCCCAGCCTGGCACTCTGCTGTGCAAAGACAGCTGAAGAGCACCGGGAGCAAGCTAGGGAGGAATGGGAAGCTGCAGAAGACAAGCAGACCTGCAGTCAAGTCACCAGGTACCCAGGTTTCACTTCACTCCTGTGCCTTCACAGCAGCACAGGCATAAGGCAGCTGTGTCAGGTGCAGAGTCTTGGTGGAAGGAGAAAGCTCAGCAGGGTCTGACACCTGAATACCCACTTCATTCCTCCACAGTTTGCAGCCTGTATCAAGTTTCGAGTCAGTCACTAGAAAATGAACCAGGGTTCAAGGACACCTGCTGAAATCCACTGCAAACCTGCTGAAACCCACTGCAAGCTATCCAGAGTTGTGGAATCAGTGTAAGCTGTCTAAACCTCATGGAATGGGGTCTCTTCAACAGCTGCCAGTTTTTTTGGGAAGTCTGAAGATACCATGTTGCGCAGTACAGTGTTGTGCTGGCAGCTAGATCCGTCATTTCGGGGAAATGCTGCGTTGGGCTTATAGACATGCTGTTCTATTTTTTTTAACTACCCTTAGAATCAGAAGAGAAATCTTGACTGTCTTATAAATTATGGCTTGAATAAATTGGCATTATAGTGATAAATCTGTTTCTAATCAAATTGTCCTTACGTTTACTTGCAGTCTGTTTCCGTAGAACCACCTTGTAGCACAGCAGCTAAGGCAGGGGAGGCTCTCTAAGGGGGCAGCTGCAATTATGATAACGAACATAAATGCTTCCTGCCCCACCCCTGGAAAAATGACTGCTGCCAGTAACGTAGTTAGCCGGTCTCTGAACAATGCAGTTGCTTCCCAAACCTCCTCTAAACACTTTCCAGGCCCTTTGTTGGTCACAACTCAGAGCTTAACTAACACTATACTCGGCTTATTCCAGTTACATAAAATCCCACGCACCCGTGTCAACGTGAAATGTTTCCGGAATAGCAAGTTGTTTCTGTATTAGTAACTGCAGTTTCCACCATACCACCATTTTGAAATTACAGGACCACGTTACGGTATTGCTATATAACGCTGCAGAGACTGGTGAACTCTGGATTTTAATGATCTTTTTTAAACTGAAAAGGGAAACACCCCTCATGCACCCCACCCCCCTCCGTTCTTAAAGGACCAGCACAGTTACAATCCAAAAAAATCAGATGACTGAGAAAATCCTTCCAGTGCCTAATTCTACGCAGAACTCCACACGGCTAACATTCTGATGAGTACATCACATTACATCACGCACTTCTTTTGTAAGACCCTACAGCTGTTTTACCCATATTCTTGCTCTCTAAGGCCAGATTTCATTCTGCAGGCGAGTGACTCCACTGCCAGGGCAAGAGCAGCCAGCCCGCCAGCTGACCCGACCCTCTGCCCGCACAGCCCCCGAGGCTTCCCCAGTAGCACAGCCTTAAGAAGCAGAACTGCTGTTTGCCAGCTGCATGCCACAAACAGGTTTTCTTTGCAAGGAGCATATCCTCAGGTTTAGTGCCATCTAAATGTCCTTTTTCCCCGTTTCTGCTGTGGTCCTGAATACACTTCACAGCAGTCCACCCTTTACTGTAGAACATAACAGACACCAGACACATCATGTCCAAGAATCTTCCAATATGCCCTCAAAATAACCTGGAAAAAAACAAGCCCATCCAAAAAAAAATGTACAGCTAACAAATACAAAACAAACTTTAATATTATCTCTTCAGACCTGTGGCTTCTGTTCTGCCTGCTTTTAAAAACGGACAAGTATACCTCTTGGATGGTTATTTTCTTCCTTTGCTTTTGCTGACCACCAGCGACAGCACCACTGGCAAGGGTAAGCAGTTGGGTGACCTCCTCTAGTTCCTTTTTTGCTTCAAGAACATGTGGATCTATTAGAAGTACTCTGTTGAAATCATCAACACTGGCTTGATAATTCTGTAAGCAGAAGGGAAAAATATTGTTTTTCATACACATACCACCAGAAACACAAACTAGAACTACCGTACTGCCCTTCACAGGTAAAAAAGATAAAAATGTTAGGATCTTGACATTAAGTAGGAAAAAAAAAATCTAAATAGAGACAGTGTAATTTCATTAGAGGGGGGAAAAAGGAAACTGAGGATGAGTTCAAATTAGCATTTTGCAACTAAATACTTCCGTATTAAATATGTAATATGACATTGTGATACCCCACCTGGAGTGCTGTGTCCAGCTGTGGAACCCACAACATAAGAAGCATAAAGACCGGTTGGAGCAAGTCCAGAGGAGGCCACGCAGATGCTCAGAGGGCTGGAGCACCTCTGCTATGGGGACAGGCTGAGAGAGTTGGGCTTGTTCAGCCTGGAGAAGAGAAGGCTCCGGGGAGACCTTATAGCACCTTCCAGTACCTGAAGGGGCTACAAGGGAGCTGGGGGGGACTTTTTACAAGGGTCTGTAGTGACAGGACAAGGGGGAACGGGTTTAAATTGAAAGTGGGGAGGGTTAGATTAGATATCAGGAAGAAATTCATCACAGAGAGGGTGGTGGGTGAGGCACTGGAACAGGTTGCCCAGAGAAGCTGTGGATGCCCCATCCCTGGAAGTGTTCAAGGCCAGGCTGGCTGAGGCTTTGAGCAACCTGGTCTAGTGGAGGGTGTCCCTGCCCATGGCAGGGGGGGTGGAACTAGATGGTCTTTAAGGTCCCTTCCAACCCAAACCATTCTATGGTTCATCCTGTGGTTCAGTACCGATGACCAGTATTCAAGGTGCAGCAAGTGAACAGAAGTCTGTGTTATCATGAAAGAAGAGTAAGAGAACTAGAATTATTTAGCCTCAGCAAATGCAGCAGGAACAATGCAGACTGCTTTCATCAAAGAAGCCCAGCTGCTAATTAAGCCAAACTATTTAAATTACAGATGTGAAGATTCACAGCTACAGAGAAACGAGATTCTGAAACAGAATTCTGAAAATGCTCACAAGGGTCAGGAAACATCAGCCCTCCCAGGTTTAAAACTGCAGCTTGCCAACCTTCTCAACCAAAATCATACAATACAGTTGTACCCAGAGGAGGAGACTGGGCTATCAGCTGAAGAAGATGTGTCCTGGGTCCTGTTAAATGCCTAATTCATCACACCAGCATGATTTTTTTCCTGATCTTCCCTTAATGACATCTAAGTAAATCTATAAAAAAATCCTCATTTACTACATTAGATTCCACTGCAGATTTGTGGTTAAATATCTGGATATTTATATACAAATAATACTTGCCAGCTTAGTTAAGTCTTTGCCAAACTACATGCTTTTAGCTCTTAAAATGGTTCATTAGAGAGTCATTCGTCAACCTCAAATAATTTCTGCTGCTTTCTCTGGTTTTATGAATCACTCACATTCCTGGAATTAGCAATAATGAAGGCATTAAATCCAACCACAACAAAACATTTTGGGAGTCCCCAGCTCAGACTGTTCTGAAGGAATCCATGAACAGGTTATGTCTTCAATAATATAAAAATAGTAATTTTTTCTAGGATACTCAGAAAAGCATAAGTTATTTCACCAATTCTTGAAAGTCTTCACTACTGTGTAATTCCCTTTTTTTGACTGGTAGAATCACTATATCCCCTTGCTCTTATTCATACTAATTTTTTAACCACTTCAACAGCATAAGGTTACAGATGATTCATACCAGGTAGCTTGGTACAGTTACAGGAATGTTTTTACACAAAATTAAAACTTTTCACCTTTTCTGAAAATTAATCAAAGGAAGCTTCCAAAATTTCATAGCTACTGTAAGAGAGGAACAAATTTATCATTAAAAAAAAAGATCCCATGATTCCTAAGACTTGCATTTGGAATTAAAACACAGGATGAGAACTGGCTAGTAGACTGCTACGCACAAGCGGGTTGTCCTCAGGTGATCTGCAAGCTGAGAGAAAAATCATGTCGTTTTTTGTTAAGGCATCAAACATAATGGAGGGCTGAGGTAAGTATTCATTTGTTGGACACTGCTGGAACTCGTGGATGCTTGGAGTTATCGTGTCCAGTTACAAAGTGCAACATGGGAGAAAGCACTTAAGATGCTTGTTTAAAGACACTTGTAAAGTTTAATCCAAAGTAGGTGACAACAGCTGCCATCAGGAGCCAACAGAAGTGAGAAGCTGATCAATCAATAACCAGGTAAGAGCCGACAGGCAAGGTAAGGATCCCTATAAAACAATTATGAAGTGTAGAGGCTAATTAACATCACTGAAGAAGGCAAGCCAATAGCGGGATGGACAAAAGGAAGGACACAGTTCAAGGGATGGAACACAAATCTGCAGTCGCATTCAGGATGAATATGAGCAATACAAGTCTGTTTTTATGAAGGTAAGAGGATACTCGAAAAAACTGTGTATAAGATGAGCAGAGTACAGACACCACCATCATTGCAGATGGAAAGGAAAAGGTCGAGTCCCCACACCGTCCCCAGAGTGAGAAAGTAGGTTACCGACAAAGGCTCGTAACGTGTGTGCAGAAGGAAGACAGCGAGAACAAAGATAATTAAAACCCTGGTTAAACATGACAAGCGCTCAAATATGAGCAGATGCCAAAAGACAGCTTGAGATTATAGTTTGGACAGCTAAAGACAGACTTGGAGAGAATCTATTTCTCATCAGCAAAGATATAGTAAACACCTGGACAGAAAAACCAGACTGGGATACCCAGAAGAACATTAGAACAGAGGTGAAACTTGCTTAACCAATCTCCAGTCAAATCTCATTTATTCCAATATTCTTGTATTTTCTCAAATTATTACAAGTCAACATGCAGGGGTTTTTGTTGCAAAAATATGCATATAATATTTTATGTATGCCTAATGTTTCACAAAGTACCCAATCATCAGCACTCAGCACTGCATACTTGGTATTCACCCATTGACTGCCACTACCTGATTGCCTTTGAAGAGGATAAGCAAGTTTAGAAGTGCTTAAGAATACCTGCCATGTTCTTTTTCCTCACCTGTAATCCTTTGTACGCTAGTGCTCTTCTATAAAAAGCTTTAATATTAGAATCTTCTATCTGAAGAACATGATCACAATCCTGCTTAGCCTCTTCATATTTATACAGTTTCAAGTAACAGAGAGCTCTAACACAGAAAAACAGAATACACTGCAATATAAGTAAATTCTACGGTGCTGTAGTGCCAACAGTATCTGATTCATAAACGTTAATTACAATACTTCACACATTTCAGTCTCAATGTGGTATTTTTTAAAGTATATCAAAACCAGTAAGTATGAATAACATCACTGGGTGGATTTACAGAGGGCAAATTCCTGCAATAAAAGTCAAAATTCAAGTATGACTAATGCTTGGGGTTAGGCAGCTATGTAAGTATTTTAATATTGGAGCCTACATTGGTATAATGTGAGTACAGTAGTGGAAATAGTATGGATTTTATACAGCCGTTCTGGGTAAAAAGTGCCCTAGATTAAATAAGCAATAATGCTTTCTGCACCTTACTTGCACCTTATTTACTTGAAAGTCTCCTGTTCAAGTACTGGCCTAATCAAATCCTTCTTAGTTTGTGAAAGCTGATAAGATTACAGCATAAAGAATTACACTGCAGAATTAGGTCAACCTTTAAAATAATGCTGTTGTATGACCGTCTTCCTACTTTTATTTTCTCAAAATGCACATTTGCTTTGAACTAATATTTGAGCTACTGCACCTCAGTTTTTAATTTAATTTATACCAGCATTCTCAAAAAATGCTGCAAAATGCCATTATAATTGTAACTTTTACTACTGCTTACTCTATTTATATAAAGATTTTAAGATATGTATCAGTGACATTAATACTTGCTCCCCTTGGAAAATGAAGTAGTTTAACAAAAAATCAATTGTGTTATGAAAAACTGCCACCCAATGGAAAAAAAATACATTTTTCACAATAACTGAAGTGGTGCAAAATCTCTGTTTGCAGTGAGAAAATATAACTGGTTATCTCACAAAGTGGGCTTACATTTTGGATCTTTACCTGTTAGTATAGATGGTACATTCCTTGGTATTTAACTCCAGGCATTCACTGTATTTATTTACAGCTTCTTCATATTTACCATTTTTTACAAAATCATTCCCTTCATTTTTTAACGTCTTGAACTTCTCCTCAGCTTTCTCACCTACATTACAAAAGATTAGTGTGTTACGTAAGAAGGTCAGTTCATTAAGGGTAGCTGAATAATCTACCCAGACTAAGAATAAGTGCCAGGCATCCAGAGTACGTTTATCAGTCTGCACTGCCATTTCTGTCCCAGATCTCCCTGCTGCTCTCAGAAAGGCCTAAACTACCACATAAACTTTTAGCACAACACTCACTTCCCTGTGCCCCAGGGTAACTGTTTTGCTGAAAATAACAGGAATGCAACCAACAGCTCTCCAGTTTCACCTCCTTTGGTCTACCCCTTCGGTGTGGTAGAGAGGGACTATGTATCTCCACTGCTATACCAGTTTTATTTACATGGGTGGCGACTTAATCAGCAGGACTAAAGGCCTTCTAGATCTCCACCCTCACATCAAGGCAGCTGAAATTTGATCTAATTCTCTGCAAGCAACTGTCACAATTACTATGCCAAACAAATCATCACATCAGTAGAGGTTAGTGACACATCATTAATAATATTCTGTTAACAACTGTTCATCAAAGATACTTCAAGGAGCATGAGAACACTTATTCATACTTTTTTTTTAATTAATATTGTGTTCTTCCCTAATTGTCTTTCCTTCTAAACTCCACATCATTTGTTGCATACGCTTCTAGGTTAGACTACAATTTTTAGATGTTTGCAGTGGAAATCCTGACTGCAGTTTCATCTCTCTCTTGTGAGCAGGCGAGAAACAGTAACATAGCTCTAAGCCCATCGGAATGGAAAATTCTACTTTTTGTACCTCACTAAAGAGTATGAGCCCTTTAGCAAGCTCCATGTTCTAAACACTCTATATAACCAGAGAATTTTAACCAATAATGAAACTCAGTGAGGTCTTTTATAAAAACATGGCAGTCTCCTATGCCAGAAAACTACATGTGGACTTGGGGATAAAATGAAGTAACGACGTGAAGCCAGAAAAGGCTTATGCAAGAAACACAGCCAAGCTCAAGCTCAACACTCGAGCTGTAAGACACAAAAAAACAACAGACAATCGTGGCAAAAACGTGTCAGCCGACAGGAAAGTTCAACTACTGCCTGAACACGACTGCTGGCACACCGGGGCACCACTGATCACTCTCAGGTCCCACTGGTCTTGTACGGGCCTGAGAGGGCAACCACAACCCCCCCTCAGCCTCCAGTGTAGAAAATGGTTACACAGCCTTCATTTAATATTTCTAAAGCCAAAGCCTAACCAAACCTGCTCTATTTGAAATAGATGGGGACGTGTTTTGCAGCAAAATGCTGCAGAGCACACTTCATGAAGACAGCGATGTCCAGTTTCATTAACTTTCCTAACAGGCTGAACATCATCACCAGTGTCCTCAGGAGCCGCTTATCTGAGTACTGTTCACTACGATGATCTTCCAATTCCCTCTCTTGACAAAGTTACACAAGGTTCTGTAGATCCAAATTTACCACGTAAAAGGTTTCAATAAGTTGGTTATACACAGAAATAAAAATTCTTTAGTAACAGAAAAAGTTTGGAGTACAATTAGTGCAACAAAAAGCACTTTTCAGGCTAAGCATTTACGTTTAATGGCAACAATTGTGCAAGATACCAGTATTCCACTTCATTTTAAGAAACTCAAAAAAGTTAAATGCAATTGCTGCCAAATCCTTAAGGGTGATGAATCAGTAACGGCATGCATGACAAAAACTGAAATGAAAATATTTGTCACCGGACATTTTGTGACTAAAATTTGTATTGATTTAATTGAGCTTAAATTATACATAAACATACATGTTTCTTAAATGGAAACAATTTTCTGTAGCATAAATGAAGTTTAATATGTACTACTGCTCAAAACATATATACACTATTACAAGTGTCCAGAACTGTGTCTTCTTCTCAAGAGAAAATGTCTAATTCTCATAAATGCAAGTATTTGTAAATTTGTCTGTTGTTTTACATCAGGTACACATAAATCCAATGCTATCTGAATGATTATTTTAAAGTCACTAAATCTATAGTGCCCAGGAGTGCAGGTTGTTTGAGGACGTGCATCACTGCAGTAATGCATTATGGACAGAAAACCCTATCGCTGCTACAAATCTGGCCAGCCATCCAGTTACGCATCACAGCCTCCCCTGTGTTAATCAGGGGGAGACCATCAACACTGGTTTTCTTTATACTGAAATAAACTCAAAGGGGAACTAGTTAATAGTTAATTAAAAGTAAAAAAATGAGAGAGTTAAGGCCTTTGCAAAAAAATGTTTAATGTCAATACAAACTTACTTGGAATGGTTCCTGATTTAGTGGGAGAGAAAAGAAAGAAACTGCAATGAGGGGAAAAAATCGGGAGGAAGAGAACTGTCCTAAAGCAGTTGAGTACTCAGTGTTTATGTGTAAACAAGTCCAGAACGGATACCTTTGAGAGGTGAGTACTAACCAGTTGCTGTTAAAGTTAGAATCCATAGTAAAAAAAACCAACATAAAAACAAAAAGAAAACAAAACTAAACCAAACAAAAAAAACCACACCACAAATATCCCAAAAACCCCAACAACCCCAAGCATTCTTCTATATCCCATTTCACGAACTGCTGGACACCTAGAATTTTACCTACCCTTTCTGTTCTGAAGACCTGAGTAATGCTTTCAAGAACAATTAAATGACAGCTACAGATTATGCAGCTGATTATAGTACTGTGGTTGGGTGTTTGTTTGGGGAAAAACTGTTGTAACTGTAGTACGGTCTCAGGGAAACCACGGATACTTGTGATAGGACTCAATATACTGCTGATGAGAATTTCAGCTATATTTACTTTTATAACTTCAGAAATTACATCCTGCAAATGACATCATTTGGCTTAAAAAGTTATCGTAGCTGTGGCTCCATAAAACACATTAAACTGAATCATGTAAATGACTATCAACTAACCTGGCTTTTCACAAAGATCTCAGATAAAGATTTTTCTAAAGCAGTTTCTGTGACATTATTAAATCGTATTCCATTTTCCAATTACTTTCTTTTTTGTATACGTATTTGCGTTAGCTATACATACGATTCATCTGCAACTGTTCTTCTCTGTTGCCATCTGTAGTCCCACTTGGCTTATTCTCTGAAGTGAAGTTTCCTCCATCCCACCTGTGTAGCTGAGCAGCAACTGGGACAACTGGAATTGGTGGCAGTTTCTCCCGCCAACTAGGGCCATCCTGATCTATTAAAGTCTTTGTTATTCTGAAAGACAAGAGCCCCAACAACAAGCCTTTTCATACATTTAATTGACACTTCAATAACTTACACCTAAATTAAAGGTGATATTCCATTAAAAAAAAAAAAACCCACACACAGAAAAATTGTCTTTAAGACCAATTTAAAAAAAGATTGTCACAGCAGTAAATGATATTGCCCCCAATTAACATCTAGGATTTTTCCTCTTTTTAGAGTATTTATGCCAGCATTTAGAAGACAAGAATCTGACTTCAGCAGATCTGTAAACGCTTAAGCAAATGATTGATTTTGCAACTAAGCACTAAATGCTGCCTACCAAAGGTAATAAAGAAATAGGAAGAAGAGATCTATTTTGCTTCCTTTTCTCAGCTGTTTATAGGTGTTATTTCTAACAAGTGTAGATTACAATATCCTCAGACAAAGTGTGTACCTAAATTTGACAATGCCAAGTGAAACCTCTTACACAACAACACTCTAAACAACCAATCATAGACTCACAGAATGGTT